CGCTCCCACACGTTCTGCGACACCAAGGATTTCTGCAGGACCTGGGGTAGAGCATCTGTCTCACTGAGGACATCTTTGCTTTCCCTCCTGCCACCCCTCTCCCTGTCCCTCCTTCCCCAGCACTTTCCCCCAAGGCTGCCCTGTGGCTCCACGTGGCCTCCAGCCTGACTGAGCACCGGCACTGCTGCCCCCGCTCTCTGCAGTCATCCTGCCTGCTAACCCGGGAGCTTTTCCTCGGCTGTGGCCTGCCAGGGGCTGGCTCCTGCCTTTCCCCTGCAGGGCCCATCGCTCTGCCCATTTCTGAGCTCGCAGTGAGCTGGCACGTCAGCAGGAGATTGCTCCCCTCTGATCACCCTCTCAGTCCCCAGATTTCTGCCCCCACTATTGACAGGCACCATGCTTTCTCCCTTGCCCCACACCTACTCACATGGACTATGTTGTGAAAGAAGCTGCCGGTGGGTTCTGTCTCGAGCAGAACCACCATGAGCTGGCCCAGAGCTTTCAGGGACGTTTGCTGAAGCTGAAAGCAGAAGAGGGGAATGAGGTTTAGCATCACGGCTGCTGCCAAAACATAGGTTGTGTGTGCTGAGGTCGGGTTTGACCGAGAGGTGGCCGGGAAAGTTACGGCAGGTTACCTGCAGGTACTGCGCTGCGTGCTGTGACTTCCTGATCTTCAGCATCATCTCTGCTGAAGGGTGCGTCACGATGTTCTTGCAGCACAGGACCAACATCTCCCGCATGTCCTTGCTTTCGAAACAGGGCTTCAGCTTGCTGACAGGAGAAAAAAAGGAAGAGAAATCAGAAAGGGCCTTTAGCAGTGCTCTCCAGACTGCTTCAGACAACATCTGACTTTCTCCTAACTGACAGCTACCAAGCCAATACCCCCAGCTCCTGCTGCTGAGCACCGTCTTCAGTTCCAGCAGCGCCCACCTCCTCCCCGGCAGCACTGAACCACCTCCTGCTCTGAAGAGAAGAAGACCCCAACTCTCCCTTCTCTTCCCTGCCAGGGGACAGGAGCACCAGGGCCTTTCTCCCTGCCCAGAACCTCAGCTTCGCCGGGCACAACAGCCCAGCCTTCACTCCTCACCCCCTACCCTCTCCAGACCCCCTACCCCCTCCAGACCTTCAGGAGCTACCCAAAATGGGGACCTTACCTCAACTGCTCCAGGGCCAGAACCACCTTGAGGGGCACTGGGGAGACAGGGATGCCTGAGTAATATTTCTTCAGCAGGTCCTGCAAGTCCCAGAGAAACACTGTCAAGGTGGGCAGGGGGCACACGAGAGCTGTTCCACTTGGCCCCGAGACAGGCACGACTGCCACACACCAGCCCCATCACTCCCATGTTCCCCATGGAAGCACTGCAGGATGCAGCAGCTCGACAGCTGGTGCACCTAGCTCGCTGCCCAGCTGCTGCCTCCAGCACCCAAGGTCCCCACCAGCTGAAGATGTGTGGCTGATGGAGACCTGTATGCCCCCAGGGAAGCGGGCCTCGTGGTGCAGCCCAGAACTCCTCTGCAGACAGCCCTGCCTCTAGGCACTCACCATCAGGATCTCCAGAAGCTTTCCCTTCAAGAAGGGGTTAAAGCATGCAGAATCACCCACGACTGCTTGGAAGGCAGAGCTGAAGTCGGTGATGCTCTGCACCAGTGCGAGGTTGTTCTGCAAGTCCTGAGACCCAAGAGAGAAGAACATTCTTTGAATTGTGGGACGGGATGAGGGCTGCAAGGGGACACGTGGGGGCAACGCTAAGGGAAGGGCTTGGATCTTCATCTGGGCACAAACCATTCCCTGAGGGACCTTAGGAAAGGGAAGGCCCATCTCAGCATCCCCCCTTGTGGAGGGGCTGCAGCTGGGTGCTCAGACACCCTGGCACGCTTTGAGCTCTCACCCGGCAGCTGCAGCTGTAGAGCATCAGGATGTTGCCCACGATGTCTCCCTCCAGGTGGGCGAGCAGCTGTTCCTTGGAGGCACGCAGTGCCAAGCTGCCGTGGGCAAGCACGAGAGCGCTGCGTGTGGCCTGAGCTCTCGTGCTGTCCAGCTCCATCTGTGTGGGAAGAAATGCCTTGAGACACTCGCTCAACGGCCCCCCCGCGATGCACCTGGGCTCCAGGGCAGAAAATAAGGCAGAAGAATGCCAAGATGGAAACCCGTAATGCTTTACCTTCTTGCGCCTGGAAATCCTCGCGTTGCGGCCTTTGCACAGCCTGGACGCAAACGTGGTGAGCATGGCCAGGACTGCTTGGAAGTTACTCTCAGCCACGTGGCTGAGAAGAGAGACCATTCCCTGCACAAAGGAACAAGGGGCAGTTGGCACAGGCCTGAATCTACAGATCCTCTCCTGAGGAAAAGGGCAGCAGGGAGGAGATGGAAAGGCGCGGAGCAGGGCCAGGAGAAGCCCTCTGCCCCAGGGACGGAGCGGGGATGCTCGCAGGAGCTGGAGGAGAGCAGGGCTCACCTGGGCCTCACATGGGTCCTCCGCGTTTGCTTCCTCCAGGTGCTGCAGCAGCTTCTCCTGGACGTGGAGGATTCCCTTACAGGCTCCCAGCACTGTGCCCAGAGCCTTGTACAGGAAAGACTGCAGGGGAAAGGAAGGAAGAAGTTGAGATGTGGCAGCAGCTTAACCTGTTGGGGAAGGGCCAAGTGGGAAGGACCCACACTCCCCGGGAGTCGCTGAGAGCAGCTGCAGGGCCGAGCTTTATCCATCCCTGGGCAGCTTGCAGGGAAAGG